CTACACAGCCAGCAGGTGATCTCCCTGTGAGGGTCAGTGTGGCGTCACCCAGTCTGGACCCAAATCCCAGCTCCCAGGGCTCTGCCGCTATGTGGCTTTATCCAAGCCCCCCAACCTCTCTGAGCTTCAGTGGCCTCACCGCACACAAGAGGGGCAACAGTTGCCAGGACACCGTGGAGGTCCCTGCTTTGTCACTGCCACAGTCACTGTGACGCTGGGGGAGTGGGGGCGGACCGGGTTCCTGTTCCAAGGAGCTCCTTCGGGGAGGGGGGGGCGCGTCTCACCTGCACGGTGACCACCAGGATCTTGACCACCTGCAGCATCAGCTTGCAGGGCTTGCGTCCCTTGGCTCTGAACTTGTCGCAAGGACTCATGAAAAAGTACTTGAGGCGGCGACGCAGGTCCTCCTCCTCTGGGGGGGTAGGAGGGGCCACTGGAGGCCCCGCCTGGGTCCCATACCCAGGGTTGGGGGTCAGGAGCCGCTCCGTCTCTGTGGGAACAGGGGAGGGCAGTGAAAACCAGGCTTAGGCAGCCCCGCCTGCCACAGGCTCAACTCAAGACCTGGGCAAAGGGCTGGCATTGTGGTGCAGTGGGTTAAGCGGCTGACTGGGCACCGGTTTGAGTCCCCGCTGTTCCACTTCCGATCCAGCTCCCTGCTAATGTGCCTGGGGAAGCAGCCGACGATGACCCAAGTACTTGGGTAAATGCCACCTACATGGGAGACCCAGATGGAGTTCCTGGCTCTGGGCTTTGGTCTGGCCTGGCTCCAGCTGTTGCAGGCATTTGAGGAGTGAACCAAGGGATGAAAGATCTTTTTATCTCTCCCTCTCTCTCTGTAACTCTTTCAAATAAATAAACAAACCTTCAGAAAAAAAAAAAAGTCCTGGACAAATTCCTCTGCCTCCTTCCCCCTTCCCCAAGATGCTGGAGCTTGGCCAATTAAAGCAATGCTTGCAACGCGGGCACCCCATATCAGACGCTGGTTCGAGTCCCAGCTGCTCTGCTTCCAATCCAGCTCTCTGCCAGTGCTCCGGGGAAAGCAGCAGGGAGTGGCCCACGTAGTTGGGCCTTTTCCACCCACGTGGGAGACCTGGATGGAGTTCCAGGATCTTGGCTTTGGCCTGGCCCAGCCCTGGCTATTGTGATCATTTGGGGAGTGAACCAGCAGATCTCTCTCACTGTCTCTCACTGTCATTCTGCCTTTCAAATAAATAATTTTTTTAAACAAAGATGATCTAGATAAAGAGGCACTTTGAGACGTCCAGAAAACCGGCCACACGTCCTGGCTTGCTGCAGCAGGCCTGCGCAGAGGTGGTGAGCCAGATGTGCACGTCAGAAGGCCCCAGTCTGGTTCCCGGCACCAATGCTCACCAGTTCTCTCTGCCTTCACTTCCTCATCTGCAGAATGGGGCAATGGTCACCTCTCACGGGACAGCGTATACAGCGTTCGGCACGAGCTGGTACGTGGCAGATGTCACAACATCCCCTCAACGCGCCTGCCAGGGACTCGTGACAAGGAAACGACTGCTTCCCCTGGCTCCTCGCAGGGCATCCGAGAGCCCTGGGCTCGTGCCAATTCCAGGCGGCAGGCACAAGCCCAGAGTGCAGCCCGTATTCCACTTTGCTCTGGACAAATACCCAAAGGATGACCTTCGCCCCCATCACAACGTGGCCCGTGCGGCGGCCCCGCGCACAAGCCACAGGCCTGCCGGAGCGTGACTGACAACAGCAGTAATGACCACGCGACGCATTTGCTGGAAGCTCACGTCATCTTCCTTAAGAGCATGGATTCCTGGAAGTCACAGAGCCCCAGGATCAAGTTCCAGACCCGCCACTCCCCCAGCAGGTGGCACCCGTCCCCACCCCTGCCTCCCTAAGGTCTTCATCCAGCAAGTACAACCAAGAGGCACGAGGTGCAACAACAGTTGTCAGGACACCGAAGGGGTCCCTGCTCGGTCACTGCCACTGCCACAGTCACTGTGACGCTGGGGGAGTGGGGGCGGACGAGCACGAGCCGCCACCGGGGACCCCCACGTCCCATATCAGAGTGCTTAGGTTCAAGCCCCAGGTCCGCTTCCAGGCCAGCTTCCCGCCGATGTGCACCTTGGGAGACAGCAGTGATGACTCGAGGATTGGGTCCCTGACACCCATGTGGGAGACCCAGATGGAGTTCTAGGGCCCTGACATTGGCGTGGCTCCCCACCCCCAACTAGTGCGGGCATTTGGGAAGTGAACCAGCCAATGGAAGATCTCTCTCTCTCTCAAACATTAAAACGTTTAAAAAAAAAAAAAAAGAGAGAGATGGGGGTGTGTGGGCACACACTGTGGTGTAGTGGGTAAAGCCACCGCCTGCAGTGCTGGCATCCCATATGGGCGCCAGTTCAAGTCCTGGCTGCTCCACTTCCGATCTGCCGGGGGTAGGCTCCTCAGCCCCTCTGCGGCCAACAGAAGCTGTCTGAGTGTTGCTTATCTCCTTCCAGCCCGAGAGGGTCACGGCCAGCCTGCCCTCTGCCTGACACAGCCCCTGCAGCCCGGCTGGGAGCATCCCATCTCCTGCTGGGGCCAGGGTGTCAGGACACACTGGGGCAGCTCCCCATCTGTCTGCAGGAAGGGCCCAGCTCCTCCTTCCAGAGCTTGGATGCCACAGTGGTTGTTTACAAGCCGGGAGAAGGGACGCCAGAAGGCGGGCCCTGCCTCCTTCCCCGGCATCACAGCCTATCAGCTGTCCCTGGCCAGCTCCGGCGCTGAGCCCAGCACCAGGGGGCTTTCCCCTAGTCTCCCCAAGGCATGGCACCCACAGCCCGAGTCTGGAGATCCGAAATTGAGCAGCCCTCCGCTGGAGTTGGGAGAAGCTGAGCCTTTGCCCCGCCTCTCGCTGGCGTCTCGGCTGGGGCTGAGTTTCTGCAAAGCTGAATTCCAGCCAAGTTCAGCGAGTGGCAGCCCTGGGACCCCCGGCCTGAGTTCGGAAACTCTGACAGCACGGGCCCGGGAGCGCCCCCGCCGCCTAAGGTCGGAAGGCAGCCGCCCATCCGCCGCCCAGCCTCTCGGAGGCGTTTGCCCGTCTTCGCCTCGCCCCTGGCGGACGCCGAGAGGTCGGCGCCGTGGACCGGGAGCTCCGCCGCCCGCGCTCGGGGACCGGCGACACCGCGCGCGCCCTCACCTGAGCCGCGCGAGCCCGCGGGGGCTGCCATGCCGGGCCGGGGAGCGCGGGGCGCGGGCGGGCGCGCGCGGCGGGGCAGCCTGGGTCCGAGCGCCCGCCGCTGTCACTGCGGCCTCGCTCCCTCGCGGCCCCGCTTCAAACCCTGAGGGGTCAGCTGACCCGCGCTGCGCGGTCACGTGATCCGGGCACCCCCAAGGGACTCCCACGTGATCGAATCCAAGCCACGCCCCCGGCGCCACGACACACGCCCTCTTCCCCCCTCCCGCCCCGGGCCGGAGCAACGCGCATGCGTGATTCGTCGACGGCAGCTTGCGGGTCGGAGACGGTCGTGCGGTCCTAGCCCCGACGGTCGCTGGGGGGGGGGGGGGGGATGGGCTGGCTCTGAGTTGGCTCTGAGCGTTGCAAGAATTGGCTCCATCCTGGCTCCCTGTGCCGAGCTCATGACTTCCACGGCCAGAGCTTGACCCCTCACCCTCTGTGCGTCCTGTCTCAGGTCTGCCTTCCTCCAAGAAAGCCTTGCCTCTCTCCTGGCACTGTCAGCAAACCCTATCTCCTGAATAATAGACCAAGTAGGACCACATACTCTCCCGCCTCCCGGCCTGGGCCCTTGCAGTGAGCTCAGCTCTCACCCCAGCCCGGCTCTGCACCCCTCCTCCTCACTCTCCACCTTCCAGCAGGACACCCTCAAAGAACTCAGTTCACCTCATTGCTCTGGAAAGACAAGCCTACTCCTCATCCCCTCCTTTGAGGGCCCTGGGGTCTAGCTCCCTTGGTGGCCCCAGGGCCTTTGCACAGCTGCTGAGAATACAGGCTCTGGAGGACAGACAATGCTGGCTGTGTTGGGGTGCTGCCAGAATTCGTAAGACTCCTTGAGCTTTGGTTCCCTTGTTTGTGAACTGAGGATACTCCATTTCCTGCTGAGAGAATGCGATGAGAAAATGCAAGAGCACTTCACAGGGTTTGGGTAACAGAAGTGGTGGTTCAGTGAGTGGTACTGGGATGCCTCCCCAAATTCAGATCCGAAATCTTGCCATGCTTCTGCTGGAAGGTACCATTCCCTGACATTGCTTGTTTGAGAGGCAGAGTGTTCGCTTGCATCCTCTGGTCCACTCCAAGTGTCCAGCACAGGCAGCAGCCAGGAACTCAACCCAGGTCCACTCCATGGGAGGCTCTGCTATTTGAGCCCTCACCGCTGCCTCCCAGGGCCTGTGTTTAGCGGGAAGCTGGAATCAGGAACCGGAGCTGGGGATGGAGTCCAGTACTCCAGCAGGGAGAGTGGGCTTCCTGGTGTCTTAATCACAAGTTCGAACGCTTGCCCTGTATTTTTGTGAGTTTGATGTGTGAGCTGTGTCAGGATGAAGACCCCCCCATCTTCAGCCCTGCTGAGACCCCCCCCCCACCGTGATCAACATTTGTTAAGCACAAAAATGGGCTATCTCCTTTTGTCCAGTGTTGTACCTAGAACGTGAGCTCCTGAGTTTCCAAGGGCAAGGGGTGAGCTAAGGGGCTCAGAGAGGGCAGGGTATTGTGTCCTTTGTCAGCCCGTAGACTGTCAACATGCCAGAAACTCCAGCCTTCCTGGGAGAGCCAAAGCAAGAGGATCTTGCTCAGGGCATTTGCAAGGCTGGTCTCCCGCCCACGGAGGTGGCCAGATCTGCGTGGGAGGGCAGGGTTTGGGGCAGAGAGTGAGATTAACTTGTGTGAGAGCTTGTGGAGGAAGTCAGGGGGTCAGGGGAGGCTGCAGATGCATGGCTGGTCCTGGCCACACCCTCCCATCTGCAGAGCTTGGGACCATGCAGCAGGGGAGAAAGAAACAGCAAGGCACGACTCGGAGCCGGGCGGCGGTGGGAGGGTTTTACTAACTGCACAACACATGACCTCCCCAGGCCCCCGGCGGATGCTGGCGCCCCCCTCAGCCATCAGGCCCCAGCAGTGCCCCTTGCTCCTGTACCCACTCAGGACTCTCGCCAGAAGGGAGGGCTGGGCTGACAGTGTCATGGGTGGGAGAGCAGGGGTCAGGGCTGGGCACAGGACCAGGATCAGATTTAGGGTCAGGGCTGGGCACCAGGTCAGGCTCAGCATCTGGGCCAGGCTTGGGGTCAGACAATTCCACAGGCTCAGGGCTGGGAGTGGATCTGGAGCCAGGGAGGGCTTCCGAGCTGGGGTTGTGGTCAGCGCCCAGATCAGGGTCAAGGCTGGAGCTGGAACCCAGGCTGGAGCTGAGCACAGAGACGGCTTCGGGACCCAGGAGGGAGACCTGCCCCGGCCTGGTCCCGGACGCCCGGCTCAGGCCAGGCCCCAGGTTCAGGCCTGCGGCAGCAGCGGCAGCGGCGGCGGCGGCAGCTGCAGCAGCGCCTTCGTGCACCCGCTTGTGCTTGGTGAGGCTGGAGGCTTGGCCGAACGCCTTGCCACAGAGCTGGCAGCGGTAGGGGCGCTCGCCGGAGTGCACGTGGAGGTGCTGCAGCAGCGCCGAGCTCTGCCCAAAGGCCTTGGAGCAGTGCGGGCAGGCGTAGGGCCGCTCGCCCGTGTGGATGCGCAGGTGGTGCTGCAGGTTGGAGCTCTGGCCGAACGCCTTGCCGCAGTGCGGGCAGCGGTAGGGGCGCTCGGCCGTGTGCGTGCGCTGGTGCTGCAGCAGCGCCGAGCTCTGGCCGAACGCCTTGCCGCACTGCGGGCACGGGTAGGGGCGCTCGCCCGTGTGCGTGCGCAGGTGCTTCAGCAACGCCGAGCCCTGCCCGAAGCCCTTGGCGCAAACAGGGCACTTGTGGGGCCGCGGGCCGCCGTGCGTGCGCAGGTGCTGCGCCAGCAGCGAGCCGTGGCCGAAGGCCTTGCCGCACACAGGGCAGTGGTGCGGCTTCTCCCCGCTGTGGCTGCTGCGGTGCTTCAGCAGCGTGGAGCGCCAGCCGAAGGCTTTGCCGCAGGCCGCGCACTGGTACGGCCGCGCGCCGGTGTGGATACCGCGATGCTGCGCCAGCGTGGCGCCGTGGCTGAAAGACTTGCCGCAGTCGGGGCAGCGGTACGGCTTCTCCCCGCTATGGGTGCGGCGGTGCTGGCTCAGCCCCGAGCTGCGGCGGAAGGCTCGCCCGCAGTCGGGGCAGGAGAAGGGCCGGGGCGGGCTGGCGGGGGCGGGGAGCACGGCGGGGCTGGTGGCCAGGACCTGGGGGCTGTCGGAGAGGCTGGAAGCCAGGGGGTCCACATCGGACGCGTCGGGGCTGAGGGTGTCATGGTCAGGGTCGAGGACGAGGGGGACAGGGCCAATGACATCCGGATCCAGGTCGAAACTTGAAGACATGGGGTCGAGATCTTGGGGACCCGAGTCACGGTCCCCCAGCGTGGAGCCTGGAGCTTGGATATCCGGGTCCAGGCCCTCGGTGGTGGGCTCCAGGGCTCCGGAGACAGTGTTGAGGTCGTCAGCATCAGGCCCTGGCTCTGCAGAAACTGGGTCCAGATCTTGCCGGTGGGGGCCCGGGTCTTCGGTGTCAGAATCCAGCTCTTCACGGACTCGCCTCAGGCCCCTGTGGCCTGGGTTCCTGACCAGGACCGAGCGCCGCCGCATCCCAGGCGTGGAAGTGCCCGCTGCTTCCGGGGCAGGTTCTGCAGGGGCACGCAGAGGGTGGGTCCTGCAGGTAGGTTCTGGCCAACCAACCAGGGGTGCCTTGTGGAGGCTAGGATGGGAGAGGGGACCTAGCCACCTCCCAGCAGCCCTGCCTTCGGAAACTACAACCCCATGCATATGCATCCTCCCAGTTCTAGGGAAATTCTGGCTTGCCCCAGACAAAGAGCAAGTGGGATAGGGTGGGACAGCTCCGAACCTGGATGCAAGTCACGGGCGCCAGCACCAGGGGTCTCCAGTGCCCATCTCCACGGCTCCGCCCCCTTCTCCATCCTGGCCTCCTCCTAGGGAAGACAGAATCTTGGGTTCTTCCGGCTCCCTGGACTGGAGTGGGTGTGTGGAGTAGCAAGCGGGAGGCAGGGCTTCTGAATTCCTGGCCCACAGGTGGCGGGGGCAGGTTTGGGGGTTCCTGAGTGTCCTGAGCTCTGCAGCCTATGACTGGGGGGTACAAATGGGGGACAGATGACATCTTTTAACCAGTGTCTTGAGGACTGGGGCTGCCTCCTGGGGCCGCGCCAGCCTGAATTCCAGACCTCAGAGCTGGTGGAGGGCGATTTGCTGCCTGAAACAGAGGAGGCTGAAAGCTGATGGGGAAACCACACAGGGGGCCCCTCCTGGTAGGGAAACAGGAAGCAAGGAGACCCAGAGACCCCACAGCCAGCAAGACGAGGCCAGCAGTGAGCTCAAAGACCCTGAATTTGGACCCCCCAGCTACAGAATGGAGGGAACTCATTCTTGGGGTCCCTCATGGATTCTTGGGGGGAACCCCCAGGGCCATCCCCTTGGAAGGGGAGAATCCTGAGTGACTGACCCCATGAGGAGGGGTAGGCAGGGAGGTGTGGGGGGAGCTCCCAAGGGGGAGATGCCTTGCGCTGTCCATCCCCGGCTTGACGTTGGGGTGGACACAAGCATTAAAGAGGACGGACCTGTTCCTAGGAACTCTGGCTTGCAGGGGGCACACGCTGAACCTCAACCCCACCACTGACAGGGCCGGGTTTCTGGGTGGTCTCAACCCAGACCCTCCTGGGTTGGAAGATGTGAGGACAATACCTGGGCTCCTGGAGGGAACAGAGAAACCTGATTGCCTCCTGGGAAAGGGGCCCCCCAAATCCCCATTTCTCAGCTGCAACCACTGGGTCTTTTTTGAGTCCCTGGGGAGCATCCCCAGTCACCACCCGGGACGAAGACCCCAAAGCTGAAGGGGGTGGGGAACAATAGCTGGAGTCTTGGGGGTAAGAGATCCCCCCTTGGGAAAAAGGCCGCCTGAACTCCTCCCACCCCAGGCTGGAGGTGGGGGAAACAATACGGGACGGGGGCGGGGGGGTGCTCCTGGATTCCAAGAGGGGAGGGGGCTCTCGATCGCTTCCTGGGGAGGGGCACCCCCCACCCCCGCCCCTCGCGATCGAAGGCCCCCAGCGCAGGGCTCTGCCCCCGGGCCGCAGCGGCGGGAGCGGCGCGTCCAGCCCCCTCCTCGCTCGCCCGCGACCCCGCCGCCGGGCCCCGGGGCGAATAGAGGTCGCCCCCAGCGCCGCGCCCCGCGCCGGGGCCCCCGCGCCGCCCCCCGCCCGGCCCGGCCCGGTCCACTCGCGGGGACACTCACCCGGCGCCCCTCGCCCCTGCCC